ATCCTTTTCTCGGACTGGGACTTGTTCATATACGTTCTTGGCAGATGATTCAGAAGTGGTTTGCCATTGCCTTCTTCTTTGTGTGAATGGAGTAATTGTTGGGATGCCACGGAGGAAAACTCCGTGTTGCCTAGACCACGGCCTTGCCCAACACAAGTTATAAATTCGGGCACCGCCGGGAATCGAACCCGAGACCACCTATATCAGTGTTCGAATGGTCCAAGACTGTACGTGGTAGGCTTACAGATATGTATGTAGCTGAAATAGGCCATCCCATATCAAGTACAAATGTTTTATACGAGGAACAATTTTCTGGGAAAACCGATAGAAATTTCGTTAATCGTAATTCGACCAAGAGAAAAAATAGTTGACACAGAAGTGGCATTTATTACGCGCGCCTTGTAGAAATGAATAATTCAGCCAGGATAGCCGGTCTCCGGGCCGAGATCTGGAAATGGGACCTCCCGGACACGTAGAATTAAATTTATTACACTTCAGACCAAACATTTACCATCGTATATTTATGGGTTTCGTAAGATTCTTAGAATAAACAGAGATCAATTTCTTAAACAGCATTAACCATCTGTTCCTCATTAACAGAGAAGATAAATTTAGTGATTTATTTTTGATCGGACGTGAATTTTTTTAAATTAATGTTCAAAAGGTTAACAACACAGATTCACAGATCACTAAACAAAGGCAAAGAGCATTGCGAATATTTATCTTTTATTAATCAGTGTCAAATTACGACTAGTGACATCTTCATTTACTCAAAAGAGTTAGAAATGAATCTGAGTACTCCACTCTCGCGCGATTGTAAATTATTTCAACTCGTAACTGGGTCTAATTATGAAGAAGGACGGGATCATTTAGGTTCGTTGAGGGTTTGATATCCTCAATAACATAAAAGTGTCATTGGGGTGTGGAAATTTACAGAGCACAGCAGGGCCACCGTCACCCAGCACTGCAAACAACAAGTAATCCACGCAAATGAAGCTCAGTTCTTAACAGTACAGTCGTACTTTGGATGGTCTTATGACTTCTCAGACGCTGATCTCTCTTCACAAACGGATTTTTTCCGTCAACATGTAACTAAAGCGATCACGTGCTAAACGAGAGGGGCTTCGATTCCCAGGAGGGCAGGTCTTTTGTCTGTTACAACGTCCAGACCTGATCAGGGGTACACCCAACGTATTTAAAGGTAATCGGGGTTCTTTCCTCGAGGGTAAACCTGACCACTCAACACCATCTACAACAGAGGTTAGGAATGGAACTGTACCTCAACTCCTCCTTACGTCTGTACGGCGTCATGCTTAGTTATGAACCAGGAACAACTTTTCACGATTAGTTTTAAAAATCGGAATTCTGAAATATATATCTTTCATTAGGTCAGTAGAGTGACTTTGGATACGAGCCGGATGACCGGAGTTATAATCCTCCCCAGAGGGTTTGTTCGAATAAATTATCTCAAAAAACGGCCAATCTTGCAAAGATTTGCATGACACAAAATGTAAATCTGAATAAGGTCCATAGTTTTTTAGAAAAAAAAAATTCGGGTGTGAATATTTAACAAAATTCAAATTAAACAATTTGTTACGCTACGTAGTGTGAAAGCCACGGTGGTCTATCGGTTAGAACGCTGGCCTTGTAATCCTGGGGGTCTCGGGTTCGAATTTATAACTTGTGTTGGGCAAGGCCGTGGTCTAGGCAACACGGAGTTTTCCTCCGTGGCATCCCAACAATTACTCCATTCACACACAGAAGAAGGCAATGGCAAACCACTTCTGGATCATCTGCCAAGAACGTATATGAACAGGTCCCAGTCCGAGAAAAGGATGGAAGGATCCTGTTCATATGGACCTGTCGTCAGACAGAACACTAAATAAATAAAATATTGAATGAACATGGTAAAATCGAAAAGAATTAACGTGAAAAATATGTATGCCCTAAACCTTTCCATGCATCTTAACTCCGACTTTTTACTATTTTCAGACTTTCGGGAATAAAATGTTTGGTGAATTCCGTTGGGCCGTTCCCGTATTCGTGGCATTATCTACGTTTGGTGGCGTGAATGGAATTCTATTCACATCAGGTCGTCTATTTCTGGTTGGTGCTCAGGAGGGACATCTTCCTTCCTTTTTCTCATTCATCCACATACGAAAGTTTACGCCAGTACCGTCCCTCGTATTCACGGTAAGTGGCTATGGTAAGATTACCTCCATATCCTGTCACTACAATAAAGCTCCGTGTATTTAAAATCACATAATTTGGTAGATGTCTGAGATTAAATTTCCAGAACGTACTGTTTAAAACGCAACCCAGCAACAATCACTACGGTACATACAAAAACTGAACCAGGAGCAGGGACACTCCCCGTGTAACAGACTCTCCCACATTACTTCCTAGGTTGCTGCACGTGCCAGTTGCGCAAAAGCTGTGCAGTTGGTAACATTGTGTATACAAGGTCAGAACATGTTTTCATTATCCGGCACTACTTCGTATCGAATTTGTTTTCTGCTGTTCGTGAAGCATTTAGCAGTGTGTATCCGGACAAAGAGATACCGAATAAGACGACAGACAATAAACACACCGACTGGTAACAAAATTTCGGGATACGGAAAGTGTTTTCTCCATTTCATTTCTCTATTCGAAGAAAGTGAACGGAGTTTCCGGTTTCAGCGTGGGGCAGTAGCCAACACTGTGAACACAACAGCAAGAGCGCATTGTCTTTGAACACCGCGATTTCCAGACCTTACCCCTTCAGACTTCTTTTTGTGGGGATTTCCCAGGATAGTTTATTTGGACAACTCATGAATCTTGAAGGAATTGAAATACAATACTGGCGAGACTGTTGCCAACATTGACCCAGAAACACTTTAAAAAAAAGTCGCATCATGTAACACGCTAAAATTATGGATGCTTGTCTTCGAGGTGGTCGTGATGGACATTTTCAGCATCTGCTGTAAGTTTTTCTTGATAAATAAAAATAGAAAAACAACTCATTTGTCTTGTTATATTCATATCACCGCGCCACAGTTTACAAATACACCTACTGTTGTACTTGGGGTTGCATTTTAAATGGAATGCTCTGTATTTAGAAGGGCTGTTACGTAGTTAAAATCTCCTCTTTGAAATATCTGGTATAACATGACTATTACATGATCATAATTTGTAGTTTCTGTCTTAAAAATGCATTATTTCTGTAATAAAATAAATTTCAGTAATAGACTTTTATTAAATTAGCAATTTTGTTAATTAAGTAGGAATTTGATGTTTTCAAGGTGGTATGTCTGAAGCTGGCTGTCTTCTGGGTTGTAGCACTGAGTAATCTGGTTCGACAAGACTACACGGTGCTAAAACACATACGACAGCCAGCTTCAATTATCTTAATTGTTCACAGTGTCTGATGTCTCTGGTGATGCTGTGTAGCAGTGATGTATTTGAACTGATTAACTACTTCAGTCTTATCCTGTGGCTTTCGATAGCAGCGAGCATTGTGGGATTGCTGTACCTCCGTTACAGGGAACCTAACATGCCTCGTCCAATCCGGGTCCATCTGGCATTGCCCATTTCATTTCTAATTTGCTGCGTCTTTTTAGTATCTATTCCAGCAGTAGCAGAGCCAGTAAATACAGGTGAGGATGTTCGTGTAGATCAGGGGTTCTCACCCCTTTTCCACCGGCGTACCGGTAATTCTGATCTAACACGTTAAATGTACCACTAACCAAATGCGTTCAGGATGTTAACCAACGTTTCAGAGGTCATACTGCCTCCATCATCAGGGCGATGAGTATGAAGATTTCTGTCTTCTGGGTTGTTGCGCTGTGTAGTCTGGTCGATGTTAACCAACGTTTCAGAGGTCATACTGCCTCCATCATCAGGGCGATGAGTATGAAGATTTCTGTCTTCTGGGTTGTTG